TCGAATCATCTCAACTTAGCAATAGATCCGAGATCTGGAGATCTGGATCTGGAAAACGAGGTTTGAAGATCGGGATCTTTTAAAATGAGATCTGGAGATCTGGATCTAAGAACAAGAGAGAAGAGAGATGAGATCTGGTCACCACCACCACACGGCTACACCACCACCACTAATGATCTCCAGCAACCACCACCACCACGTGAACGGCAAAGAGAGAGAGGAAGAAGATTCACGCGGAGAGAGATAGAGGAAGAAGAAGCTGCGTGGAGAGAGAGAAGGGAGAGGTGCGCGAGGAAGAGTGAAAGATCTGACGGCTAGGGTTTTCGTGTCTCCAGGATTCTCTGCAGAGCTTCACTTCCAGTTTTGTGAATGAGGCAAAAGAGAAGGAGGCAGCCTCTTTTTATAGGAAAAGGAGGGAATCCTAAGTTTTTAACCCTAATGGACCGTAGACAGACTCATTTGCCTTAAAAATATTTAGCCCGAAACTAGATTGTTACATTTTTGTCTCAAGGATGAAGGATAAAAACGAAAGATGACGTGATGCTAACAATGTAATTATTTATATATAAATATGAATGCACTGCCGTGATGAAGTATAAGAAGAAGCCATGCCATAAGTCTGGGGAATATATGTATGGTGAATGGCTCTTGGACCTCTACAGCTCAATTCAGTGGATGTGGCTGGGTCTTGAATGATAGTATGGGGAATAGCCAGTTGATGGGTATGCGTAATTTTGATAGAGTGGAGCCTGCTTTGCACTCTGAGCTGGAAGCACTGCAGTGGGCAAAGGAGAACATGCTTCAACATTCGCCGTGTCAGAGCTTTGGGACGGACTGCAAGGAAATGATATTAATGCTCATGAATCCACAGGATTGGCCAAGCTTCTCAACGGAACTGGAAAACCTCACGACGTTGCGGATTTGCTTCCCAGATTTTAAGATTTTCTATGTTCTTAGGACACAAAATGGGTTTTTTGATCCCCTAGCTAAGACTGCTCGATCTTTCTATCGAGAACTGGTGTATGTTGGTTGTTCTATTCCGATTTGGATTCCCAGACCACCTCAAACTTGAGTAATAGATCAGCCGTTCGTCGTAAAAAAAATAAAAGGAAGAAGCGTACTAATTATTAAGTTTTAGTGTACCAGTCCGTTTAATTAACCTTGATTGAACCGGTTTTCACACATTTGAGAACTTAAAACAATATATAGGTGGTCGTATATTAATTGTTCATTGGCATACGGTATAACCTCTATAAATTAATACTCGATAAATTAATAATCTCTATAAATTAATAAATATCACCGGTCCCAACTTGGCCGATGTAAAATATGACACAAATCGAAAAAATAATAAGATAATAATATTTTTAAAACTGCCATGTAAATATATGGTCCCATTAAAATCATAAATTAATAATCTAGCTATATATAATTTTATATAAGTACAATCTAACATTATATTGTTGGTTTTATATTTACTATAAAAATACTTTTATTTTTTTAAACATTTCAATATATTTCGATAATATTTAGTTAGGGATTTTATATTTACTATAAAAATACTTTTTTTTTAAACATTTCAATATACAGTATAACCTCTATAAATTAATACTCGATAAATTAATAATCTCTATAAATTAATAAATTTCCCCGGTCCCAACTTGGACCGATGTAAAATATGACACAAATCGATAAAATAATAAGATAATAATATTTTTAAAACTGCCATGTAAATATATGGTCCCATTAAAATCATAGATTAATAATATAGCTATATATAATTTTATATAAGTACAATCTAACATTATATTGTTGGTTTTATATTTACTATAAAAATAGTTTTATTTTTTTAAAACATTTCAATATATTTTGATAATATTTAGTTAGGGATTTTATATTTACTATAAAAATACTATTATTTTTTAAACATTTCAATATATTTTGATAATATTTATATAAATTATATCGAAAACCATGTAACAGTTCTATGAAACATAAAAATATACAGCAAATAAGATAATAAAACAATATTAAAGTCAAATTTCTAAAATTTAAATAATGTACATATGCTAAAATAAAATTTTTTTTTTATTTTATAAATAAAAATGGAAAAAATTAAAAAATCTAAATAAGGAAACTTTCATAAATTAATATCTCTATAAATTAATAAAATTTCAAAGTCCCAATATTATTAATTTATAGAGGTTTTACTGTATTTTGATAATATTTATATAAATTATATCGAAAACCATGTAACAATTCTATGAAACATAAAAATATACAGAAAATAAGATAATAAAACAATATTAAAGTCAAATTTCTAAAATTTAAATAATGTACATATGCTAAAATAAAATATATTTTTTATTTTATAAATAAAAATGGAAAAAATGAAAAAATCTAAATAAGGAAAATTTCATAAATTAATATCTCTATAAATTAATAAAATTTTAAAGTCTCAATATTATTAATTTATAGAGGTTTTACTGTATTTTGTAAACTGTCCAGTTTCTTTAGTAAGTGTGTATTTATTATCTTTTTCTGTGAAGTGAACTCTGGTAATGACACATTACCATAACTAGATCCGTTCCCCGGGCTACGCCCGGGTTGTTTTCTTGATTTTTTTTTCCAGCTCTTATGAAGAAAATAATGTGTAGTTAATTAATATTTTTCCATTTAATTATTTTGTTTTATAGGTTTATGAATTAAATTTTGGTTTAGTTAAGGAATCGGGTTATTGTGTATTGGGAAGGATTTTTTCCGATACGTAAAGCTTATATTTTATATAAGTCCATGTTTTGGCCTGTTATATATTTGGGGATAATCTAAGGGTGTTTTGGGTGTCATATGGCTAGATTCTTTGATGGACTCTAATCTTGCTATCACTGTAAGTTGACTAAGAAAGTTAATTTAATGTCTCAATGACCAAGGTTCATCCAAACCCAAAGTACTACTCAAGACATACCAAAATAATAGTTAGAAGGTTATTAAATAATGTTGTAAAGGGGAATCTATTAAAAAGTGAAGGGTAGCAAAATATTAAACTGAATCAAAACCAAGTGTTTAGAAAGCTGCAGACAAAGATTCATGGAAAATAAAAAAAGAAGCAAAAAACATTACTAAGTTCTATTAGCCAAGCTTTGAACGCTTGGGTTCTTCACCCTCAATCACATCAGCACCTCTTTTCACCGACTCCTCAGCTTGATCCTCCGTTCCGTTGTCAGGGGCCTCTCCAGCTTGAGCTGCAATGTTGACCTCGTGTTCTTCCTCCTCAAAAGGGAGCACTTTTGTTACAGTCAAACTCTGGGCCTTACCAGTGAGGTTATAGGTAGACACCTTGACAACAAACTTCCTGGTTTGTCCTATGGTACTAAGTAGTGCCTGAGGCACTGGGACAATGTGAGCCTCTTCTTCAATATTGTTCACCTAGCATAGATTTACACATTGTTAGTACATTTATGCTTGAAAATGAGATTAACTTGTTAATGCTTAGAAATGTTATAGTTCCGTTTATACCTTGTAATAGCTGTCCACCAACTCAGCAGCTTTCTTTCCAGTGAGCTCCTCACCAGCATGACCAAGAAGCACAAAGACAGCTTGATCCTTGTGGTCATACACAGATAGCTTCGAGTGGTACCTAGGACAGAGAGATATTAATAACCATTGCAATGAAATGAAAAATGTGATCGCTTAAAAAGACCGCTTACTGTGGCACAGCATCAATCTCATGCTTCCCACACTTCTTACACATGAGAGTTGTTGGCCCTTTGATTGCTTTGGTATGACATTGACGACAGCCTATGTAGTACCACTCAGCACCATGCACAACATCATCAATAGTTGCTATGCATTCAAACCAAGCAACCTGTAAAAAAGTTTGTAAATTAAATGTCTGACTTACATTATCGTATGGAATGTATCAGATAGTGAGGAGTGTAATACCTTTGCAGAATCCTGCTTCATATAGGCGAGGAGATCACCCAAAGTCACTGTCTCAGGCTTCGTCACCACTGTTGCATCAACCCTGTTCGCAACTTCGAAGTTCGATTCCAACCTGAAACAAATATAAAATCAGCCATCAGATATTTAGAGGAGTTTTTTTTTTCCTTAAAACATTGGATCGTAAACCTTACCAACTGAGATAGGATCGTGTCTCTTGGATATCAACATCTATGAATACCCTTGAAGCCGTTGTAGAAGACAGAGACAAAACGCCTATGACAAAACGTAAACCATGCTAAAGATGTCAAACCATGTCATAATGAATTAAATTTATTATTTTTTAAAAAAGAAGAAGAATTACTATCATTATCTGTGATTCAGGTCCTATCTAGATTATTTCCTATTTTCTCTTAATAGTCTTTTCAAATAAGCAGAGCAGTGTATTGAAAATGCAAGTTTGTACCATTATCCTACAAAAACTAAATTAAAAGGCAGTGCAACAAACCTCCAAATCGTTTCGGATTCAAGGCGGTAACCAAGATAACACTTGCAGTGTTTCCAGATGCTTTGAACTTCTTACAGAAGTCGAAGGCGGCATTGTCCCAAAGACACACCTTCACCACTGGATCACTGTGAAAAGCATAATTTAGAATTTAAAATCAATACTGTAGTCAACTGATTCTTCATTATGGGAAAAAGGTGCATATTAACTTACTCATGTGTTTGGACGTGA